GACGTGTGCTCTTCCGATCTCCCCAAAACCCCAAAACCCCAAAACCCCATCATATCAAATTACATATAAATAAATAGGTTAAGAAATAATCATTAACTTTAATTTCCATTTAATTTCTTTTCTAAATTAACCTTAGTATTTTGTTAATAGTCCATGTAAACTCAATTTATCTTGTCAGCTCCTAGCTGATTCTCCAATATCTAATTTAATTGGTCAAATTTAGTTTTTAGCATTTTTTCCAGTGTTTTGACTCTTTCCTCTAAAAACTCATTCTTTTAAGCCGAAATCTTATGTCTAATGTAAGTCAGAAGTTTAAAATTATCTAGGTCTAACTGATCATCACTAAGATTTAGTTACTCATCTTGAAAGAAAATTGAATGGTATTTCTACCAAACTTCTTAAAAGGTGACTTTTCCTAAATATTCATATCTTTTAAGTTATTCTATATAACCATCCACTTGATTCTTTTTATTAAATACATCAATGACTTTAAGGTCGACTGCTTTCCTCTCAAGGTAATCATTAGTCTGCTTAATTATTTCCACCAATTTAGTAAGCTCATAGAAATCAAACATCATTGACTTATTTTAACTTTGAGGATTAATCAAGTAATCATCTCCATTTCCTCTTAGTTTTTAATCTAAGTATTCAAGTACAATTTTATATTTGTGTATGAAATCGGTAGCTTTTTCAAATAGATCTTCTGCTTCTTCTTAACTTGATTAAGATTGTTAAGCAATTTTTGAGCATGCATCAGCAATGTATATTGGGGCATGATTATGGATATTAATATTAGATCCTGGATTTATTATAGTAGAACATTCCCTGCAGTATAGAATTCTTTCAGTACAATTATGTTCGCAAATAAATATTGTTTTGAATTGCTTATGAATTTAACAGTTTGGCAATTTATCTGCTTATTCTAATGGAAGTCCAAGAAGATTTTCACAATTTGATGGCATTTACATATACTCATTTTCTTTTATTTATCAAACCTCATCAAATAGTCTTTACTTTGATGACATAGAGAAATACTCATTCTCATTTACGAAATAATTCTCTTCATTACTTCTTTCTTAAATTGAATGCTCCAGCAAATTTCTTTAGTTTAATCGCGGATAGTTTTATTGCCGCTGGCTATTTCTTTAGTCATATTTATGGAAGTTTGATTCCTGATCGCAATTACATTAGCCTTATCTATGTAAGTTTGATTCCTGGTCGCAATGATTTTTTTTATATTGCGGTGACTTTGATTCCTGCAAGTAATAATTTATTTTATCTTGCTTTAAGTTTGATTGCTGCAGTCAATTTTCTTAGTTTATTTCAGGCATCCTTTCTTCTTAGTTTTGATTTTGATAAAAATTGTAATTTTCTTGCTTCGAATGTTTCATTTAGATTTTTTGCAATTAATTAATTAATTAATTAACTACTTATTTCGTAGAAAAATAGCATAAATATCTGAATTAAATCATTATGAAGTTATTGATTGCTTAATTTTTTGAATGTAGGGGTTTTGGGGTTTTGGGGTTTTGGGG